TAATAATCAACACATAAAAAAATTCAGTTAGATTAGTTATTGAAAATTAACAGAACCAAGTGACCCACACAAGATTTATTTATTCTTCTATGTAACTACATAGTTCCACTTAAACCATTTACCGATCTATGAATAGCATACAGACAACGTATATTGGTTGATATCAGGTTTCCAAAATATGCATTATTTGCAATTTTATTTGAAAGTGGAATATATCAATGGTCAGCTACGTGTAAAACTTAATTCAAAAATACGTAGTAATAGCAATGATAATGAAATTTGCTATATTTAATAACACATTGTTGAGTATCATTGCAATCATGAACCGATCAGTGTTAGACCATTACTGAAAAGCTGAAAGCACTGGACGACAGTTTCGTCTTAGTATGAGACTCTCCAGAATTGTGCATCCACGATCCTACAGGGGGACTCGAACCCAGGACATTCGGTTCCAAGTCTAATCTAACATTGATAGATTATTGATCTCAGTGAAATTGAGTAATCTCCATAAGCTCCATACTGGAAATTTTTGGGTACACTGATGAATCTTCGGCTTGAAAAATATGTCATATATCAACAAATTATTGCATTTCTATCCGTCTCATGGTTACTCAAATAGATGCACGTATATCTATAATTGAATCGACTCTCATGAAATTTATTTTTATTGTATCTACATTTTATGCATGATTTTTAAAGGAATGTGTTATGTTGCCAAGATTGATTGGATTCCTAAGTTCACCAGTTAGAATTCCGAATACAAATTTTCTATCGCGTGTCTGCTATTCCTTTTTCATCATAATGTCCTTCGTCTTGTATTTATTTAAAGTAGCATACTCGAAAATCTTGTTAATCAAGAAGTTGATTAAGACGTCGGTATCTCAAGCTTTCCGAAAACTAAACACATCAAACGTTTACATTTTGCCTTCAAGCTGTAAAGTATGTCTTAATGATCTTATTTCTAAGTTTTATCTGATGAACTTGGAAACTTAAAACATTGAATTTTTGTTGTTCTTAAATACCAGACATCAGATCCTACTAGCTAGATTTCATTGATTACTAGAATTGTTATTTTCGTCCTATTTAATGTTCTTCCACTTTTTGATTGGTTAGTTGTATACATCAAAGGCTGTCTATGAGATTTCTATCAATGTTTAAAACTTATATCGAAAGAATAACTTGAAAGCATCAGAAATTACCAATGGATTGTTACAAGTATCATATTAAAGACAAAATGTTATAGTTGCCAATAAAAGGTTTGGAATAGAATTTCACAATTCCAAGACAAACCTTCAACTTAAGTTATTTTTCTTAAACCTAACAGTTTGACAAGGGTAGGAGGCTTGATGGCCTGTGTTAGATGTGCGAAAAAATTATGAGACTTTTACACTATTATAGTTATATCAGAAAAAGTATCTTAAAATATGATTTACAAAAATGAAAGATTGACATTTAGAAAAGTAATATCTATTCTCTTAAGTGTTACATTCCCTGCTTTTACATTTTTCATTGTTATATATTTACATTGAAGCAATATAGAAAGCAACTGTCGAGTATGAATCATAAAAAATATCGTGTATTTTGATCGTCGTACAAATATCTATGTTGATGAATTGAAGAACTTCAGTTTCGAGGCGTCGCTTGTATAGTAGTTTAATCCCTTTTGGAGTAGGTGTTCTTCGATTTTTGTTAGTGGTTGTTTTGACAGGTTGATCACGCAATTCCATGTGTTTTCTTCCATGGGTGGTTTTGAGATCTTGATTAGTTTCTTCTTCAGGGTGTTTCTTCTTTGTTCTCTGTGTCGTTTGAATGATATTTCGATGGCCGTTGTCAAGATTTTCAAGTGTTCTGATGTGAGTATCCTTTGTAGCTTTATCTTTTGGTCCTTTATGACGTGCTGGTATTTGTGGATCCTGTATTGTGCATCCGTTATCATTAGCTGTACCATTTTTCTTCCACTTTGCTCAGCTATTCTCTATCCCAATAGGCACTTTGTTGGAGGTCTGTATCTTACACTTGTTAGTAGAACATGCTGACGAAGACACACTTGGAGAAAATACAGTTGTTCTCGATTGGAAGCCTGTCTTTTGTCAAAATTTTCCCACTTTCGAAGAACCAGAAGGGCACTACCCTCATATGATTTTGAGATGGAGAAGATTTGTAGCTCAGGTGGATGATTTTGATGCTACAACTGATTTCTACCTGAAGTTTATGCTGGTAATGTCGTCTAGAAGAACGATGAAAGCTCCATGACCAAACCATCCAGCTCAGAGAACAAAACACCAAAATCATCCACATGAGCTACAAATCTTCTCCATCATGACTGTTATTTACGTAAAATTAGTAAGAATAAATAACATTGAATGAATCAGTGGTAATTTAAATCCATTGATAATTGTATCGATGAAAAGCTTAAACTTTGTATGTTATTTGATTACCTTTGAAGATTACTAGGGATACTTGAAATAACTAAATTTTATACAAATTCAACTATTCAGAAGATAATAACATGCATATGATCACGTTCTTACTTATGTAGTTAGTAGTGTTTAAATTAATTAATTGTATTCGATTTGTTTTCATGTGGTTCTGATTAAATATTTAATTTTATAAAATAAATGGAAATATAATATAAATCCTTTTTTTAAAAAAGAGATTGACTCTTTCGCAGTAACAAAATAAGTGTAGAGGTGGGTCAACAACTATGGGATACAGGTTTAAGCTATTAAGATATACGTTAGAAATTCACTCTACCCTTGTTTGATTTAGACGACTGGATTGTGTAGTGTGCTTACATAGAAACAGTGCAGTTTAAATTCAAATACGTAGATCTGTAGGTAATAAATAAGGTACAGGTTTTAAAATCTAAAATAATTTAAAAATTGGACTCATGAGTCAATTAAAGATGGACAAACATGGAAAACCAAGAAGTAATGGACGGTCGTTTCGTCCTATTGAGGGACACCTCATCAATGCGCATCCACAATCCCGACTCGCGACATTCGAATCCAGGACCTATCAGTCTCGCGTGCGAACACTTAACCTCTAGACCACCAAGCCGGCAGCCAATGATGTCATTGTCTAACTTCAACTAATCCACCGAATTGAGCGACACATCCATCATTGTCTTCAGTGACTTACAATCTAACAACAGACCTGGTTGAACTCCACTGGTCACTGCTTTTCACTAGAACTCCAGGAAATTCCTCTTGAAGCCAGTCACTAGAGAGCATATGTTGATTAATATCAGGAGGTAGTTTTGTGAATATTATAGTATTTTTTTTAATAGTTGAGACCATGGGTCGACTGGAGCTAGAAGACCATGGAAAATGTTGAAGCATCAGGAGACTGTTTCATCCTAGTATCGGACTCCTCAGCAGTGCGCATATTCGATCCCGCTCGCGGGTATCTACCTCGGTACAGGGGAAGATGGTCGTACAATGTCGTGGATTGGTTGAGGTTAGATATTAACACTGTTGGATGCCGAATTAGTGGTCCAGAGATAAGCGTTCGCGCGTGAGACTGAAGGCCCTTGGTTTGAATCTTGCTAGTATGGTCGTTTATGTGCACTGCTGAGGAGTCCCGTTATAGGAGGAAACGGTCATCCAGTGCTTCCAGGTTTTTGATAGTGGTATAACATCAACCAGTTCATGATCTCAATCGAAAACATAAGAAGTAAATAGAAACTTTTTTAATAAAATTTGTTGAGGAAAACAAGAATCCTCTTACTTGTCAATAAAATGCTTGACATGCTCAACAGGAAAGGTGTATAGTATAGGTCAACAGCCTTCACTGCATCTTTATTTCAAAGTGTGTGTGTTGAATTTAGTATTGAAGAAATTTTTTATAGTTTTGTTTGCTTAGAGCATTGTATAAACCAAGTAGGTGGTTTTTATCTGATAAAATATCACTCGAGAACTATTTTCAAGCTTACAAATGTCTAGTAACAGCCATATGCTACAATTTAAAGAGTGATCAGTTGCTCTACCAATAGCCTTCAGTTTATTGACACTTTATTATTACATTTTAATTTATTAACGAGAATTCAATACAAACATTATACACTAATTTTCTTACCAGTATACACATTTTACATGAAAAATCAAATAAATTTAACCATCTAGTAATGTTATGCTTTATATTTATTTATTTAAACACATAAATATTGGTACAAGGAGGCAACAAAGAGGAACCGAATAGAGATGCACCACGTAAACATTCGATTTGTGTAAGGGCTGGGATAGTAACCGAGTGCCCAAACAAAAACAGGTGACTTCCTTATGGGGCCACACCCCGAACCTTTGATCTAAAGGTCTGATCCACCTGGCAGTGAGGCAACGCAATGAGATACAGTCCCATGGTAGCCGGTCACCAATAATTGGTTCATAAGCCATTTATTCATTCAGGATACTGGAGCCCATGTGCATCATTGGTTTGAATGAGGATTTTCCAACCCCCCTAGGTGGAGTCTCTGTGTCCACCAACTAGGTTAGAGAGTCGGACATTCGCATTTTGTCCTCTCGATTCCGTAAACAACACCTGTGGTGTGAGAATGCAGTGAGTAGGACTTTCCTTGCAGTGGTTATATGCACGTGGCCATGCGAGAGCATTTGGAGAGGGAGAGCTGACTCTCCCCACTCTCGGCCGTACCAGGGCATTTGAGGGCTATTCTCCATAAAATAATTACATAAGTGGATCTCATTGCGAACTGACCAAAGAAAATTATTCAATAATACATTTCTAATGAAATTGTTAATATGGATATTACAATAATTCAACTGAAAGTGTTACTTTTTAAGAAAATCTGTCGTTTTATTTTCAGATTTTTTTCTAAAATTTTCACCATCTTGTTAATGATGACAATGATAAAAGTTAGATAATTAAACTAAATAAGAAAATGTTTACAAATTCAACTTGAATAAAATATTGTTCAAACAATGTAACAGTTCATCATACAAAACAAATAGTTTATATTACCTATTATAGAAAACAATATTCATATGATGAATAATACACTTACAATGAATTCTGAAATGGATAATAAAACTACCTGTCAACAATATTTTAATTTAAATGAAACAACATATATACCCGATGTATATGAATTTAAACAACAACCTATATTAGTTTTAACGGATCAACGACAATTACAAACTATAACATCATTGTCAAATTCTACACTTCAAATAACTCAATCATCACAGATTTCTGTAGAAGATCAAGAACATCAAATCTCTTCACGCGTATCTGACCTAGAATCAATAAATTCAGATAATAATTTCCATAGAAATTATAATAAAATCAATAATATTACAAAATTATCATTAATACCTATACTTCCAAATAATTCAGTAAATAATACAAAAAACTTATGGTTACTTCAACAATCTTCTGATAATTCAGTAATAAATTCTAATGTAAAACGTCATTTTAAACGTCGTGTAGCAAATCATCATTATAATCAACGTCCTATTTGTTATTCACAAAATATAAAATCTAATATTAAGAATAAATTTGGATATAATTCATTTAGTGCTCCATCTTCACTTATATCTAGTGCAATAGCTACTACATATTCAGAATTAAAAAATGAAAGATTGAAGAGAATGAACAAATGAATTATGACCAATTACAATTATTATTACCTACATTATCAACAGTAAATTTGACGAATGATAATGTTGATCATGATGATCATGAAAATTGTTTAAATCGCAAATTTCTAAATGATTTTGATATGAATTTAAATGAAAATAGTATTGTAGTAACTGAACCAGTACAAATTACTGATCGATCATTTTCAAATCAATCGATTACAAATGATTATAAAGTTAATTTGTTAACATCTAGTGAATGTCTTTCTTCTTCTTTAGAAAATCAAAAATTAGATGATTTACAACATAATACTATTCTTTATAATGGTAGTTATATTAATTTAGATAATGGTAATTTTCCAATTCGTTCACATTCATTTTTTCACTTACGCCAATTAGATTCCCTTAGTTCAAATGGATCTCATTCTAAACCTGATACAGATATATTATATCCTATGAATGGTTCATTCAATCAATTAGCTATTCGTGTTTCATCATCACCTATGTCAATTTGTAGTAATAATATCTTTTATCAACAGAATAATTGTTCAGAAGATCAATATAATAAAACTACTTTTAATGGTAACAATTATGGCGGTAGTAGTATCAAAAGCAGACGGAGTAAATGCGAGAAATATATCAGTCCGGACAAACACACTTGTATTAGATCATATTCAGCTATGAGACATCCAAACGAATGTAATATACGTGTATTTCGTTCACCTCTCGATGTTCTCTCACCGTGTAAAGGTAAGAAATTTTGTAGTATTGTATTAAACATTAAATTTTACAGCAAGAACATTCTTGAAAACATAACGTACGCTGCTTATTTCTCTAAGTGAACTATAATCTCTCAAATAAATCCACAATTAAGCTTATATATTAGGGTAATGTAATGTTGAATAAACTCGTCATGCACCGATACTTTACACCTGCTTGTATTTATCACAGAAGTCTGTTATTTTAAAAAAACTGAATTAACGAATTTTACTATCACATAAACAAGTCTCTTTATGTAATAGTACATGTTAGTATATTTAAAACATTTCTCGACAGGTAGCTGACGGATAAGTAGCCTGAACTTAATTATTGTATAAAGATCTCATCAAAAGTTGTAAACGCGTCTTGCGGATGATTATCAGTTATCGTAAAACTCTTGATCTATGACATGAGTACTTTTTATGTATCCTTTAACCCTAGTAATAATCGTTAGGGTGCCAATTAGTCAAAGTGTTAGTTGTTGTTGATGTCTTTGAGCCAGATGGCTTAACTGTTGGGTTTTCATTATCGTTCTAGGCAACATTGTCATTTATGTAGTGGACATCTTTTTCGTCCTACTATGGGACTCTTCAGAACTTCCAACTCACGAAACATTAAGCGATCAAACTTAGGACCTAAAGGTTTTGTGACTAGCATCTCATCTTTATACCAGGATTTCATATTCACAGATTTAGTCAGTATGCAATATTGTGAAGCTACTGTCCATTTACATCAGTAATATATGTCTCTTTTGCTAGGACAAACTTTCTCCCCAGTATTACAGAGTTTTCGTTGGTTGTCCAACTAATCAGTTCATGACGTAAACTACAAATAAAACGGTCACGTAGAATTGAATATGCTAACATTTTTGACAGTTGTCATGAAATGTTCTCATTTAACCTAGTGTTTCAAAATGGTAATAAATAATCCCTCTAGCTATGATATTGGTTGATATATAATCGGTTTTCAATTTAGACAGAAGTTTTCTCAAACTTACATTCATGTTTAGCTGTCAAATCCATATAGCAGCTTACATGATATCCTTTGTCTTTGAACTATATATATTGCTCAATACTTAAATATTCTAATAATAACCTATAATGTTCAATATATTTTATGAATTATCAAATGTAGAATGTTAAATAAAATTACAGTATGATAACTTAATGTTTTTCAAGAAATTTTATAATTAACTTCATGAGTCAATTAAAGATGGACAAACATGGAAAACCAAGAAGTAATGGACGGTCGTTTCGTCCTATTGAGGGACACCTCATCAATGCGCATCCACAATCCCGACTCGCGACATTCGAATCCAGGACCTATCAGTCTCGCGTGCGAACACTTAACCTCTAGACCACCAAGCCGGCAGCCAATGATGTCATTGTCTAACTTCAACTAATCCACCGAATTGAGCGACACATCCATCATTGTCTTCAGTGACTTACAATCTAACAACAGACCTGGTTGAACTCCACTGGTCACTGCTTTTCACTAGAACTCCAGGAAATTCCTCTTGAAGCCAGTCACTAGAAAGCACATGATGATTGACTCATGAATTCAATTATTACATTACTACAATCTTCACAAAACTCCTCTATGATTATTTTCAAGCAGTTATCCCTTAACATTTCTTATTACCACAAAGGCGACCAAATGTAAAAAAAGAAAAACACTTTTTCAATGCTGTAAATTATAATTTAAGCTATCCAAATACCAGATTGTTTAACAATCGGTATAAGATATTTGTATATATGGATAACACTGTAAAATCTTTGTTAATAAAGGTGGTGCTAAATTCATAATCAGTTTTAATTTGGTACTTATTATTGGGTAATAATTTGACATATTTGAGCTGTTAGTTTGGATGGTATTAACAAACCAGAAATTTACCGTCTAAAATACGACTGATTTACTACAAGTATATTATTTGTCATATGTGAAATTTCAGGTAACTTTAACTCATAAGGACTTGCTTTAAATGATAGCAACAACTAAAAATACATAATGCGGTTACATTGAATTAGTGAAACAACTATAAGAAAACATTTTTATGCTTTGGTTATCAGTGATGGTACAATACTGTGGAACAAACTGTCTACAAAAAGATATTAAGCTAATCAACAGACAAATCCACTTTGGTTTAACTCAAAAAATATGTAAGTCTTTATTATACTGGAATTCATGAGTTATTTTAAGCTATACCGCCATGAAAAACCTGGAAAAACTGGACGACTTTTTCGTCCTATTGTGGGATTCCTCAGCGACTGATGTCAAGATGTATTTCCTGGAGTTCTAGTGAAAAGCAGTGACCAGTGGAGTTCAACCAGGTCTGTTGTTAGATTGTAAGTCACTGAAGACAATGATGGATGTGTCGCTCAATTCAGTGGATTAGTTGAAGTTAGACAATGACATCATTGGCTGCCGGCTTGGTGGTCTAGAGGTTAAGTGTTCGCACGCGAGACTGATAGGTCCTGGATTCGAATGTCGCGAGTCGGGATTGTGGATGCGCATTGATGAGGTGTCCCTCAATAGGACGAAACGACTGTCCATTACTTCTTGGTTTTCCATGGTGGTTTAGCTTCACTGGACTCATTATCTCAACTATTGGAATTACGAACATTTTATTTCAGAGTCAAAGTAGTCTATATTCTGAGCCTGAAATAAATGATCATAAATATAACATTGTCCATTTATATATTGTACTGGTTAGGTAAATGTAATAATATAAATAACCGATAGGAATAATTCGGTGTTGTACTGTTTTTTTTTATATCTCCGAATCGATGTTTATTACTGCAGTTGCTTATAACCGATAGGATTATTAGCACATTTAATATATAATCACGTTTAGTTTGTGATAAAAGCATCTCCAGCAAACAGTTGCTCTTTCATTATTACTTACTTACACTTTGCTTACGCGTAGGCCACCAACCAGGATTCTCCAACCAACTCTGTCCTGGGTTCTGCTTTGCAGTTGTTTCCAAGTACTATGGATTCTTTTTATTTCTTCTTCCGATTCCTGACGCAATATGTTTCCTGGTCTTTCTCTCTTCCTGTTCCTTTCAGGATTCCATGTTAGGGCTTGCCACTTGATGGAGTCTGATAAATTCCACAGTGTATGTCCTACCAACTGCCATAATCTTTTCCAAACTTCCCCTTAAGCTAAGCTGGTTTGTCCACTGCCATATTAGGTTGTTGTTGATGGTATTCGGTCAACGAACACTGGGTACCTTGAGTAAACACTTGCTTATAAATTTCTGCGCATTTTTGATGACGGTTGTAGTAATTTTACAACTTTCAGCTCCGTGCAGTAGGACTGTCTTGATGTTCATATTGAAGATTCTTTGATGTTGGCTGACTGTTGTTTTGAGTTCCATATATTCTTCAACCGTAGGAGTGCCTCAATTGCTTGGCCAATCCTCGCCTTTACATCTACATTCGATCCTTCTCATTTATCGATGATAATGCTCAGGTACGTAAAACTTTACACCACCTTCGGAGCTTATCCATCGAATGTTGTTGTTTGAGAGCTCTCTGTATTGCATTTCGGGATCTTGCCTTCTCTCATATGTATATTGAAGCCTACTGCTGCGTAGGCTGCTCCTATACTGTCCAAAGTCCAACTCATCTATTTACATCCAAGTCGTCCATTTTATTCCAAGCTTCCCCTCATATGTGAAAGTCTTCATTACTCAATCGATCACCAGAAGAAACAGGAATGGTGGGAGTAAGCAGCCTTATCTAACACCGGTTCCATTGCATTGATTATTCAACAATGATCCGTAGTGTTGGGTGGCGGTTTGTGCACGACGGAATCCATCCTGTTGATCCAGAAGTTGAGTGTACATTGAATATTTCATTCTGTTCAACATCGCTCTGCTCAGGGTTTCTATAGACATCCATTCACTATGATAGGGCTTTCTGCGGTTCACAACCTGTTTGCACGTTGAAATGAGTGATTCTTTGATCCCCTTCTAGTTGTTCATCAAGTAATCTCCTCTTCTTTGAGTAGATCTTGTAAGGATTGAATTTGTTGCTAAGAGCTATCCGGAATTCGCCAAGTTTTTCACTGTCACGAAGTAAGGGTGTTCTAAATCTTTCTAGTGCTGTTTCCCTAGCTGTCCAGCTTTTCTTTAGACTCACTTTCATCTTGACCACCATCAGGTAGTGATCTAAAGCTACGTCAGCTCCTCTCTCGGCTCTCACGTCTTCGATGGATCTTCTGAATTTTTTAGTGATGTAAATATGATCCATTTGGTTCTCCGTGATGTGATTCGGTGAAACCCATGTAGTTTTGTGTATGAGTTCGTGTGGGAATATTGTGCCAGCTCTTGCCATTTTTTAAAGGCACATAATCTCGAAAATCTGTTACCGTTTCCATCCCTTTTTCCTAGTTCATGTCTTCCAATGATATCTTCATCCGTGGTGTTGTCCATTCCAACCTCAACATTTAAATCTCTCATTGTAAAATTCGACAATCGGAAGGAGGAATGTATATATATTGTGAAAAATTACTAATTATTTACATAAAAATCATACACAGTTGTTAAATGTCTATTTGTATCTTTCGGCGTGCTCTGCAGTCTTCTCGTATGGTATCCAAGTGTTATGCTAACGCCGTGCTTTTGATGTACTGAAGCTCTTCACTCCACCTGACAATTGTTACAACTTCGAATCCACACTACTTACAAACAATTTTCGGAGTAGTAACCACTACACCATCAGAATGGTCAGGTCTTTTCCTGGGCTTTTCTGTACGACTAACTTTTGCCTCCAATGAAAACTGATCTTTAGCGTCTCGTTCACTTTCACTAATGGGTACATAGCACTAGATAACATTTATTGAGATTCCCTCCTTCTTCGTTTTGAAGGATGCTTTGATTATTCTGGATCCATGGAATTCCAATCCTATAAGTGTTTTTCGTGCTTTTTGTATAGCATCAGTGCAATTCCTTGTGTGTGCGAGGAATTTTCTTCTTTGTACTCAG